TTAATCTATTCATAACGTTATCGCTCCGCTCGGCCGGGGGCTTATCGATCCCCGACAAAACAATCCCGAGGCTTCTGGAGTTTCGCCGACCGTACAAGGGCTTCGGCGCGGCTCCGCGTATTTAGACGCGGGGGGGGGGGACCCTCTCTCGTGGCACCCGTGGCGCACGTCACGCGGGGAAGAGCGCGATAAACCGCTATCGCCGGCGCGGTATCGCCGGCGCAAGTGAACGAGGTACAATTGAGCATGACGGCGACTTTCGCAATTTTATTTTTGCGCGCGTGGCGCGTGATATCATCGCGGGCACTCCTTCGGGGGCTTCGGGGCCGCGAGCTAATAAAAACGAGCCCGACTTAATGAGACTCGCGGTGCCCCGCAAGAGGAGTAGGAGGAGGAGGGGTGGAGGAGGAGGAGGAGCAGGAGGAGGAAGAGACGGAAAAAAAGATAGACCGATAGAGAGCGGAGGGAGGGGCACAGAAAGAGACGGAGAAGTAAATCGCGAGGGCCACGGCGGGGAAGGGGGGGGGACGAGGAGCGCAGAGGAAGGAAATAGAAAAACAATCGCCCACAATCGCCCGATCGCGCGACGGAGATCGGGCCGGCGAGGGAGAGAATTGATCGGCGATGCCGTCGACTCACCAGGGCCGTAGAACTTGGCGCCTCTGGTGACGTCGTAGACGCTGCCGTTGACGGCGACGAGTATCCGGCCGTCCGGGCCCTTGCCGTCGTACTTGGGCAGCTCCTCGATCGCGAAGTCGCGGCGCAGCTTGGGCAGCTTCTTCACCTCCTGCACGGGCTCCTCGGGCCGCGTGCGGCCCTTGACGATCTTGTAGACGAGGATGGCGATGACGCCCACAAGGGCGAGGTTCACCGGGCTCTTGACGATCTCGCCGACGAAGCTGGACAGGAACTGCGGTTGCGGTTGCTGCTGCTGCTGCTGCTGCTGTTGCTGTTCCTGAGCCGCGGCGGCCGGCGAACCGCTCTTCTCGGCCATCTTGACCAGAGTCAACCGACCCGTCTACCCGGGCAGGCGAGGAGTGTCTCGCCGAGGAAGACGAGAGGTTACGAACGCGCCGGGGGACTGGGTTAGAGGAAGCGTAACGGCGTACGCGCTTCCGAATTCCTGTCGCGATGTGCGCGCGCGAATGACGCGTATATGCCTCTGCGCGGCGCGTGCCTGCCGACGCGTACGCGACTCGCGGAGACCCACGGACTCTGAGCTGCGGCGGAGAACTCGCTGCGAGAAAGAGAGAGAGAGAGCGCGCGGGCGAGAGAAACAGCGACTACAGCGAGGCGGGGAACGCGGACTGATAATCGCCGACTAGGCGCCGCTCGCCGACGCGTGACGACACTGACGACGACTCGACGCGCGCGACGATAATCGCGCCACACCGAGCAACGATGCGTACCGGTGCGCGTTGCGTAGCCCCCCCCCCCCTCTTCTTTTCCCTCTGCCCTTCCCGCAGTCGCGCCCCCCCGACTCCGACCCTTTTCCCTCCGACGGTCCGTACGCCCGGCGCAGAAGAGGGACGAAATTCGGAAGAGCCGCCGTTCTACGTGGCCGCACCGCGGTGGTGCCGCCGCAGGGCCGTACGCGTCCCCGCGTCCCCCCGCGGCGAGGGGTGGGGCGAGCGAAAAAGCGTGTCGCCGCCCGATTGGGCGCGACGACGCTCGGTTTTCGCGAAATATTGGCCGGCCAGCTTTCAAGTTTATCAACTGTTTCGTCGATCAATTAATTTATTGTTGCGCCTCGCCGCGGCGCCGCTTTGTTAATTAAGTTTGCCGCTGTCCGTGCGCGACAACGCTCGGCCTTCGTAGAAATTGGTCGGCTAGTTTTCGAATAATTAATTGACGCTGTTGATTTGCAGTATCACTCGAAAAGGACCCGAAAGAACGGGGTTGAAACGTGTAATAAACTAATTAAATAACTAGCCAGTTGGGTTGACTATAATAGCGTTTTCGATTTGCTGACTCGACCCGACTCCGAGTCAGAAAAGTTTGATTAAAAGTAAGATTTTTGCAGAAATTGCGATTCAAATCTTGCTTTTGATGAAACTTTTCTGACTCTGGGTCGGGTCGAGTCAGAAAATCGAAAACGCTATAAGTTTCCCCGTCTCAATTTTCAAATTAAGTTTGCACATTGTCTTGTCGACGAACTAGTTGCATTTCACCGCCTTGCTAATTAAGTATGTCGTTATCAGTACGCGACAATAGTCCCACATAGAGCTAAAACCTCGAATGGATGTCCATTAGACGTTCGTGGAGATTTGGAATGTCCAGTGTCATATTAGGCCAACAAAAGGCCGCTAAACATCCGTAGTTCCGCTTTGCGTGCGTCCATTAGACCTCTTTTAGACGTCTTTAAAGATGTCCACTAGATGTTACGCAGATCATCAGTAGAGACGATCCGATGCGAGGTTTCGAGATCCATCTACCACCATAGAGCTAGACATGTGGATGTCCAGCTCCGTGGGGAGCTATGGAGGTTCAGTGGATCTAAAATAGATGTCTAGCTGACTTTCACCATGGGGACAGATATCCATAAAATGGAGGTCTCTCTTCACGGTGTCAAATCGGATACATAGCCATTAGAGATCTCTCAATGGATCGCTGATGGACGTCTTTCCTTTGTGTTTTTCGAACTCTCCTTTTTGAGCCACCATCGATCCAAGTTGCGCCGCTCAAATTGAAGCAGATCCCCGGTATTCTCCGGCACGATTTCTCGCGTCGCAAACGTATCGCAAACATTTTCCCGGAGTAGAGTTACGAACAATCCAAATGATTCGATTACTAATTGTGGGCCCCAAAATGGGTTGCTGTCTTTTTCTTTCCCCAGAGTACTTTGCCAGCCCTAATTCGATTCCTCCTCTCCGTCTGCCCTCATCTCTCTCGAAATCGTGCAATTCCCACCCGAATCGGAGCTCCGCGAGTATCAGCGCGGTTAATTGCGTCGCGTTAATAATATCGCCGGTAACGACGAGGATGTCTAAGCAAGAAATGGAGACTTTGCATCCTCGCGTGATATTTGACGTAACCGGTGTCAATGTACACGTGGATCGCGACCCGGAGACTCAATGACGAGCTCTTCCCGGCAACGCGACTCGGCCTTTTCAGGGGTCGTCGGTGCCGCGACGTATTTCTGCCGCCCCGGGCTCATTCGTCTGTCCTGGCGCTTCGCCGATCCATTCGACTCTGCGCGGACTCGCATCAATCGCGTACGCACGAAACGTACATTCGCATTCGCGTCCATTTGCTCTTCCGCGAAGTTAGAATGTACCGTTTGCGCTTCCTCTCCCTCTCGCCCCGTCGAGCGAAAAACAGTTATGTCACGAGACGAAAGAAAGATTACGAGCCCGGGAGAGATTGTCGCTCGCCCCGTTGAGATTCGCGGAATCTCGCAACGAAAATAAGAGGATCGCGCGGATCATGTTTCCCACCTCGCGGTATCGCGGTATCGCCCGTCCCGGCGATTTGCCAAGAGGAAAAAAAACCTATGTAATTATGCGCGTTCTTCAGAGTCATGCTATGCGAAGTCACGTGTTCCAGATACGCGACGCGCGTTGTAAATACGCTGCGTGCACTTGCAGCGCGCGCGTATGTATATGTACGCACGTACATACACACGGGCATTCTCCGTCGCGATTAAGTTAGCTCCGCCGCAATTATGACGGTCACGGGACCGGGCGCACGCTATTACGATTGCGAAGGGATCCTCGTTTACTCCATAGACTTATATACTTCATAGACTTATATACTAGACTGCGACATCCGTAGGGAGGCGTCGGTCGTAAGATATAGACAGAGAGGTAGAGCTGAACCGAGTATCTCTGTCTAACTTATTCGCAAAAAGAAAGTTTAGTTTGTTCCTTGCAGCGAAACGCCTTCCCTCCTGTTTCAGGAAAAATAACGCAGCTACAAAAAAAAACAGATCCATCGTCCCGTGAAGAACTTAATTTGTTTTTAGCTTAATTAGTTTTTAATCTATGATCAAGAGGAAGTCAATAATGATGGAGAATGTACTTTGGATACAAATTTAAATGCCTCGTTCCAAAGTATCTGAAAAAAAAAACCATTACTGCTCAATATTTTGTTATGCAGATTTGTTGCACATACCATGCGTCCGAATCAATCGTTTTATTTCACATATATGGCAATCGTCTACATAATAAAACGCACCTCGCGTAGCAAATGACACTGAATCTTTTTATACATATAGGCTGCGTTCGGCAGCTCACTATCGGCACCACTTAGCGCTGAAAGCATCGTTAAATCTTTCTTCGACGCATAATTAGCAGCAAAGATAGAATAAGGTCTTCAGCGCTAATTGTAAGTGGCACTGATAGTGAGCTCCCGAACGCACCCATTATATATATATCTGTAAACATAATCTACTTGTACTTAGATAAATTGTACTTGAAATGGACGGCACTGTTGCATCGAGAAATACTGACGCTTTGTCGCTCCCGAGTCAATCGTAATATCCTATTTACTATCGCTATCGTTTGAAGTTAAAGGCACCGGCGCTACCTCGTTCGCCCGGGGCTCGCGATAAGTAACAAGGCACCTCTGATTCGTGCAGCACAGATATCTGTATCCCTAAGGAGTCCTCGCTACACCTACATTAACAAACACGTGACACGTTTAAATTGTTCATAATCTCTCAGGCCTTTATAATTGCCTTCTCCTCCTGATAGTCGAGGTACGGACGGATGTCGGTGATGGACGACACGGTCTCTGGATTGACTCTCTCCGAGCACATCGGACAGGTCTCCTCAGACTCCACGATTCTGGCGTGAACAAATTGTAGTGTAACGGACAGTCCAAGTTAACGTTTGCACTCGTCGTGCGATATTTACCTTAGAAATTCACTTCTGATGGCCGGGAAGTCGCACTGGGGGCACACTGTGAACTCGTCCTCCACGATATGTCGTCCCTGTAAGCACAATAGAACCGGGAGAACGTGGCTGGCGCGCTCTACTCGTGAGCGTGCGCCGATTAAAGGGCCTTACCGTCGCGATGCAAAAGGGTATGGTGTTTTTACACTTATCACAGGTCACTTCAGTCTCGGGGACTCTGCTCTTGCAGTACGGGCACGGGGTGAGAGGCTCGTCCTCGTTCTCGATGTCCTTCGTTCTCGGTGGTTTCCGCACGATCGCCTCGATCTTCTTGCTGTACTTGGCGTCGACCTGTCCCCGATACTCGGGGCGCATCAGCATTGCGGCGAAATTGAATGCCGCGTTCTTCAGGCCCGCCCTATGGCATTCTATTACGGTCGAAGTTAATATCGGCACGATATCTGAAACGCGAAATGTATCGTTGTAAGCCGGGCGTTAATCTCTTTCGCGTCAATCGCCGCACAGAACGGCTCTCGTCGTTACTAACGTGAGGGAAATTTCGATATGCTGTTGGCTACCCTTATAAGCATCCGGGCGCCTCGTAAATGATCGCTTCTCTTCACGTGCAGCCTCACCAAGATGTAGGAATGCAGGAGTCTCAAATTGGTCTGCATCTCCAACGGTATGGTGATCTTATTTCTCTTGAGTTCTTGGTACATACCGAACAGGACGTCGTGAGCGTTTCTGTAGTTTCCTGAAAGAAAAGAGACCCGTCGCGTGATGCGTTTTTTTGACGCGGGCATAAATACGTACCATTAACTTGCTCCTCGTTTGCAATTATGATCGCCGTCTTAGCCGCTTCCTTGTACTGCTTCCTAGCCATGTACAATCGGAACAGATATTTCGGATCCTAACAGAGAATACGAACACGCTAGAATCTTTCTTTTTAAACAATGTCTATATGTAAGCATAATAGTAACCTTCGGTAAGCCATCGCTGCCTAATAAGAAATCTATCAATTGATTAGCTAATTTGTCATCCTTGGAAGATGCGACGGCATCTATGGCGTAGGTAATCGCTCTATCGTCGTCCGGGACCAGTTGCACAGCTTTCAACAAATGTCGTAGAGCCTAAAAATAGCAGCCCGGTAAAACACCGGTACTCTTTGCACGATCAAACTTCAGATTGCAAAGAAATTGCAAATTCACCTTCTGATATTCCTTAGCGTGGAAATAGTATTTTCCAGCTAAGAGATTGTTTTTCTGAGATTCAAAGTGCATCGCGAGACTTCTGAAATCTTCCCTACGGACATTGGTGTCGTCGATTGTGTTCACCAAGATTTCCCCGTACAGTTCCATTTTGCCGTGCTGATTGGCCAATTGAAAGGCCTCGTCGTGGCAATTTGATAGAATCAGAAATTTGATAGCCGAATTATAGTCATTCATCTTCTGGAAATATTTTGCAACCATTTTTGCACCTTCTATGCTTTTAGTTTGTTGAACAATTTCCACGCTACGAGCTGTGGAACAAAATAATTTAGTCAAGCGTATCATTATTAGTACACATATCATGCTGTGGGGATAACAAAATGCGAGGGAAAATACACTTACCGGGATTATTTAAATGGTCCAGATTAATTCTGATTATGTTATCGTAATCCTTGGCGGTTTCATACGCTTTGGCAGCTTCCTCATATTTACCCTCGGACTCTTTGGCTTTAGCATACTGTATGTTAATTTTCGCAGACGATATTTGCGGTAGAAGCTGCCCCACTTTGTGCCAATTTTTCAATTTTATGTACGCCGACGCTGCCTTGTCGAAATACTCGGCCTTTTCGTATAACTGCGCAGCTTCGCTAAATTGCTGGAGATACACAAATATTTATGCAACACAACTAAACCTTGGAGGTTTAGAAAGAAAAGTGAGTATATACCTTCATCGATTCTAAAATCTCCGCGCATTCTTTCCGTAATAGCCTCGGACTGTCGTTATCCATGGCTATCCCGACGCCTTTTCTGCTGTCGCCGCATCTTATAGACATTCTCGCTATTCCTGCTAAACATTGCGTTCGATGGTGAGGATTCTGCGTAGCCAAAGCGGACGTATTGTAATCAACTAGACCGCGTTCGTAATTTGTTAAGGCTTTTGGATAGTTTCCCCTGTTCACAAAGAAGATTGTTGTATTTTTATAAAATATTTTGTTAAAAATGCTGGGATACTATTTTATCGTTGTGTTATATTATCATCATATGAAATCTGATTTGTTTATATTGAATATATTAAAATACTTGGTAGGATTTTAATAAAGAAAATCTTACGTGAACTCCAATTGTTGGGCGTACTCTCTGGCGATGAAAGGGATCTCGTCGGGTTTTAACTTTTGCGCCAAACTCAACGCTTGTTCCCACTGCATTAAATCTCTCCTCAGATACAAGGCCTGCACGGGCTCGGAAGATTGCAGAAAATACTTTTCGGCTTCGTTGTAATTTCCTAGTAATATACACGCGTGGCCGCACAACAAAGCCAGTTCATCTATATTTTCCATATTCTGTAACGTCCACACCATTGCGGCATCCTCCATTTGTCGATAAACGCGAATAGCTGCGTGTAAATTAAATTTTATATAACGTATTTTAATGTCGTAACAATATGTATAAAAATGATGAGACATGCTTACCAAACTCGACGTTTAAATTTGCAATGGCGCTTTGTCCCAGCTTCAGCCATGCATCCCTGTTGTTCAATTTTTCGCAGCTACTCCATGCTTGTTGGAACCTAACAGATAATTAAAAAACGTTCTTTCAAATACTCTGTGCACGTTTTTCTATTTACAAATTGAATGACATAAATCTTACCGTCTGCACAAAATCTGATTATCCAAAATCTCACGGATTTTTTTCGATTCCACGATGTTCCCTACTTCTTCGTGGGACGTTAGTGTTAATTGTATTATTTTACTACCCATTGTGCTCAGCGTTACTTCGCCAGAGTACATTAGTAAAGGCACTGAGTCCGATGGCAACTTGGTTGTACTTATTTTTATTACTTTGGTACCTGTTCACAATGCAACACGTGAGATCTCGCGGTGATAACGCGTAACTCATTCAGGTCTCACTTGCCTTCAACGAAGTATTTTACAAAGATGTATGTTACAATAACGCTTTTATTGTACACTGCAAATGTAGCACGTTCAAATATGTTCTGATCCCAGAGAATACCGTCAATGTTATCAGGACAATCAGGCACGGCAATGGCCGCTTCGTTTATCGGATCAAACACGTAAACGTCCGACTTACTGTCAACGAAGCACAATTGCGCTCCATTCGCGTCCAAGTATAATTCCTTTATCCCATTGTTATGTGAAAATTCGGTACACTGATGAAATGTCTCCAAGCAAAAATACGTAATGTAACCCATCTAGAAATTTGGAACAGGCGCATCTTCAGACTTTCAAATTGACAACACTGCCCGAAATTATCTCAGGATGATGAGCTGACTTACGTCATTACCACAAACCAGGAAGTCGGAGCAAAGAGCGTGACACGTGATTCTACTGTGTGAAGAATTGGACTCTGGAAACATCTTCGTGTCCTTCCCGCTGTTTATCAGAGCCTGCTCGGATTTGATCTGCACACCAAGTAAAATTAGCAAGCGCGTGTCTTCCACGATTCTTACTATTAGTTCGAAGCTCGTAATTACCGAGTGTAACTGCAGTTTCCCGTCAAATAGCGCCGACACATACGTCTCATTCAAGCGTATACTGTCTATCGTAGCCAAATAATCCCTCTCGAAATGTATAGTGTCGTAATGGCTCGTAGACAAATCCCAGAAGAGCGCTCTGTTGTTTAGTCCTACTGCTAAATGTACCGGACCCACTGCTAATATCGCCGGTTCTATTATGGTGTTGATTATTTGCGGGCTCGGTTTGTCCTGAAAATACGTACACTGGTGAAAGAGTCCGCTTTGTCATCTCGCGTCGTCAAAGGTACCTTGTCCAACGTATAGAGGTGTATAGTCACTTCCATCAGGCTCGTCAGCAACGCTATTCTGTTGCCGCAGACGCTGGTTAATTTCGGAATCTCTATCAGATAAATTAATATGTTGCCGAGGTAAGTCACAACCGCCAGCATCGTCCCGTCCGTCGACCATTCGATACTGCTGACTCCACTCTCGTTGGTCACCGTGATCAACGTCTCGGTTTCCTCGAGATTCTGCAGACTGTGCACTTTCAGCGTACCGTCGCCGCAAGTAGCCACTTTTCCGACCGCTTGGCTCAACGCGACGTCCGTCAGGGAGTCTCTGTGGTTCTTGACTTGAAATAATTCCTGCCCGACCTCCTTTATGTGCGTCGATATCGCGATAAAGAAACCAGCCTCGAATCCTACCAGTATGTAACCGTCGCCGTACCTGTAAGACAGAAATAGATGCGTATCGCTGTCGGTACAGCGCGGAACAATTGGATCAGCGTATTATACTAGCAGGTAATTACCACTTATAAGTTACGATTAATCCGTAACGTTTCTGGAAGGCCAATTCAATCGGATTTTCCGGATCCAGAATGTTGTACAAGAACAACGTCGTCTTGCTGACGATGAGGGATACCTGAATACATTTTTGCACACATGAGAGCAACAGCGTTACGCGAATATTATGTAAATGTGTTTTACCGCGAGCTTCTCGGTGAGACATCATACCGTGTTTTCACCGCCTAGTCTGTGGTCCATTTTCATCTCGCTGAACTGTATATGAGACGGATCGCCTTGAAGTGTTATCTCTCGGCGGGTGTCTCCTTCGCTCGTGCTGATAGTCAAGACCTTGTCCTCGCTCGCCAACGCGAGAAGACCGTCCGCCGACCACGCGCCGCATAGAATGCGCTTCCTGTGCTTCCCCAAAATAGGTATCCGCCTGCGCAACGTGGAGCAATTAAATGGAGAATAACTTTACAGCGTTCTAGATACTATGTGATACATTTGGTCGATATCGCACTTGGCATTTATGTGATCGTAGAGCACCAGATTTCCCTTCTGCGTCCCCACCGCCAGCAGACAGCTCTTCTTCGCCCACATCATGCAGGTGAGCCCGTCCCTCACGCCCGCGTCTATCTGGGACTTCTTCCCGGTCGTGGCGTCCCATAGAATTATGGTCGACGAGTTCTGCGATATTATTGCCAACAGATCCCCGTCCGAGTCCCACCCGAAGCCCGTGCACAGCCCGGAGATTGGTATCCGCTCCTGAATGTCGCCCTGCCTGTCGAAAATGGCAACGGTGGAGTCGTAGCCCGTTGTGGCCAGATGCGTGCTGTTACCGGGTCGCCAAGCGATGTAGACGTTACCGCTGCCATGGGGTTGGTCTAGTCGATACAGGACCTGCCGTTGAGCGCAAAAGAATTAAACAAACGTTCCCTTGCGTGTGCAAAAGTGGAGGGAAAACCTGGCGCAAGATCGGCCGCGTGGCTGATTCTCATCGAACGAGATGAATGAATCACAGATCTGACGGTCGAGGTGAAACGTATTCTTCGCTCTCTATATCGTTAAGCTTGACTTTTTCCCATTAAACAATCCCGTGACAGAGTACGGCGGTCGACGCTAACATAACCTACCTTCTCCGACGACATCGTAGCGCGGAGAAATTGTCGCTGACGGGGAAATCGGTCAGTACGCGCATTTAAATGATATATCTATACGGCATTACGACGCGCATAGCTTAAATATTGATTTATTAAGCAGTGTCGCTTTCGCGTACCGACACATCTCCTATGTCGGCCATATTGTTTACCTTTGTGGGGCTTTCGCGATCGATTTGCGCGTGACCCGCCATCTGTACGTCGACAGGGGAAACTACTAATACAAAACGATGGATAAATAGGGGGAACCCTTTTGAGGTTAATTGGATCCTAAAGTCATTTCAAATACCAATATCTTTTTCACTAGACTTCTGGCCCGAGTGTTTTAAGTATGAAAATGTTCTGCTATGCGGTCCGCAACTTATCCTGGCATTATTTTGAGCGTAAAAGTTAATGAAAACATTTTCCTGCGCGAAAACTATATTTGACCGTGTCGGTCAAGAAACATGGCTGAGAGATCCGCTTACAATGAGAAAACATAAACAGTATACATATACATATTATAGCGACAATATAATCGACCAGTTGACCGAGTATGAAGGATAATTCACACTCGGCCTCGTAACAAATAAATTGTATCAGCTAGAATTTTTTCGAATTTCCATAAGGTTCGAAACTTGGTTCCGAAACGAGTGATCTTTTAAAAGACTGCTTAGATATCTTGCTGCTGATCACTTCAGACGTGATGCACCACTCGACTGTAGAGGGGAAACGATATCGAGAATGTCGAACACAAAAGACAAGGCGTGTACGTGCAATTTCATCAAAAAATATATATTTAGTAGAAATGATCCTTTTATTTGAATATTAGCTCATTTTGCGAGTAATCGCGGCAGTCAATCACCTGTCAATATCTCGGAATTCAATGTTGCGGACTCACGTGAAGAGATAAATATTAATCACACGCGAATAAAATTACCGGAAACATGCCTCGCAGTACTAATCCTACAAGTTATAATTTGTACATACAAAAAGTCGATAGTTATGTTTTAACTGTATTTGAATATACACACATATCAACAGTTTTAAGTAAAAAAAAGTGTCGCTAGCATGGTTTTTCGTCGACCGAAAGTACGCGAACTCTCTTCGTAATTACATCTGAGGATTCGCAAGTTGATCCACTAGCGACGTCCCAGCGTTGTTTCCTTAGCTTAGGGTGTAGCCTTCGGTTTCAGTTCATCGTAACACGGTCTCAGGAAGATCTGATTTTTCTTCGCCGGATTGTAGTACTCGTGACCCTGAAACATTAGTAAGTCGATAACATCACATACAGACAATTTCATGATCACGTCGCTTCGAACGACGTCGGATACCTTGGACCAGTCGTAAGAGACGGCGTACGCGAATATCTGCCCATTGTGATTGAAACAGCAACGCGTGATGGGCTGCTCCATCGTTTCGGAGGACTTGAGCTTGGTGCGTGCGTCCTTGTCCCAAAAACCGAAGGTACCATCGCCGCCCACGGTCACCACGGTGCCATGTACTGGATGGAATGCTATATCGTTCACCTGTTCCGAGAATTGACGAGTTATTGCGCCTGAGGAGATCAAGGACGTAATCTGATTTCTTATTCAAGTTGCACAAACCGCGTAGATATCTTGGTATCCGTTAGGCGTGCCGTTGGTCCTGTGGCACTTGAACGTAAAGTTCTCCTTCGTGCTGAGATTCAGATGATGAATCGCAACGCGTCCCTCCGTGCTGCCGATCGCAAAACCGGTCGGCACTTTCTTCTTATCCCTGAAAATCGCCACGCAACGATACTGATACTTTAGGCTCAGCTCGACGGGCTTGTACTCGCGCGGGCTGCCCTCCAGTTGGTAGACTATCAAGCCGCGTCCGGCTGTCCCCACAACCGCCATGGGATAATCCTAGGATTGATATCATTAATGCATATAACGATACTGTACGCCAGCACGATGTGTTTTATTTTATACTCGCACTTACAACATCGGCGCAATAGCATCTTTCAGGCAGATTGATAGTCATTGCTGGCTTGGGACTGCGCAGATCCCAAAACTGTAAATTTCGTATTTTTAGTGAAAATTTCAGACACGTTAGAAAAACATTTTGACGACAATAATTACAAACTGTCTAAAAAAACGGACTAGTAGAGAGCGCGACAGCATTTGACCAATTTTATATATAAAATAGAACATTAAGGTTGGTGCCTGCTGCAGTTGTCTTTATTTAAATGAAGTCGCGTCGAAGAAGTGAAAAACGACTCTGAGAAATCTCGCGTTACATTTTCAAGCGAAAAGATACTTAGATGAACAAATACTTTGCATCGCTTTAACACACTTAAAATATTGTCTCAAAAACTATCCCTTTCCTTTGTTAATTCACGGTTCTTTATTGACTATTAAAGGAAAAGACTAGTTTTCGGACAATTTTATAAGTGTTAATGCAATCCAAAGTGTTCTTACGTCCAAATATCTATTTATTTGAAAAATATTTGTAACGTAAAAATTCGCAGCGAGCGATTTCTCGCCTCTGACTTTATTAAATATAACTGTAGCAGAGTTTTAAATCCAAAGATAAGATTGCAAATGAATATGAACCCTTAGCGTTTTATCCCAGGAGCCAGTCATGAGGCAAGAATACGTGGACGCCTTAATCCAGTGGCAGGTTTTGATCGGCGCGTCGTGCGCTGCCACTTGTACGCTCTGATTTGTAGCCAGGTCCCAGCACTTTGCCGTCTTGTCGCAGCCCGCCATAAACACTTTGGTCCCATCCTAAGGATTGTCGCGCGGTGACATTATTGCAATCTCCAACGCCGTTTATTCAGCGGCACGTATCTCATATACAATAATTAAGAACCGAGGGACTTACGTCGCTCCAGCACACGTCCAGGACCGGCGCTGTCATACTCTGCATGGATTTGGGCACCGTCTTGCCGGACTGCTCCACCTCCCAGCAGCGAACGTTGCTGTCCCAGGAGCCGGCCACTAAGAAATTCTGCGGTATGGACGCCGGGCTGAACGCCAGGCTGGAGATGGAGTCGTCGGGCGGCGAGACAACCTCGAAGTCCTGCATCGGATTCGACGCGTTGGACGTGCCCGTCCTCAGCGCGTTGCTCTGATTGAACATCGTTCCTCGACCGGGTCCCACGCGTTTCTCGGTCGCCGCTCAGTAATTTCTGCGGGGAGAGATAACCAGTGCCGTACGTGCTCCGGTGACTCGCGCGAGATTGTTTACCCTGCAGTTAACGTCACGCAGAGAGCGGACTCCCTACATCATCCACGTGCCCGGGGAGAATTGAAGCCGCACGAAAAACGCCGACGAAACTTGAAGAGAACACCTCAGCGTGGCGATAGACTTCACACAAAAGCGCCCGGCCGGATGTGCATTTCGGCGCCGCTGGATGTCGCTGCCGTAGCTTCGCGCGCGCACGCGTCGTAATACGGCAAGGAATGCGGAATACTGAGACAGGAAACTAAGTCGGAGGGCAGCCAGATTTTCGAATGTCAATCAACGATTGGCTGCGGACCAGGGATGTCCACGAGTCCCTAGAAATTCTCTATTCCGCGATCAATTCGAAAAACTTATCATTTACTTGAAGTATATTTACATTACTTTATAATATAACAATACTACATTTATGTTCCGTTTCTAAAATTACATAATGCAGCGTTTTAAGGCACAACTGGACTGCAAAAAGATCGTTTGTTTCGACAACCATTAGCCAATATTATAATAATTTATCGTATATTTATTATTACAATCGTGATACATGTAAAAATGAATTGAAACTCTTATAAAAATATATTCATCCTTCGCACAAACCCCGTACCTGTCGGAGAACTTGACGTTACAAATATAAGACACGAGAGAGAGAGAGTTTCTCCTTTCGATGATTCGTACACCGAAAAATGAAATTATTTACATTATGTTACATTAGGTCCGGTAGCTCTGAGCGGTGCCGGATCCGTAAGTGCGATCCCACTCGATGTAAATTTTGAGATCCGACTGAGAGACGCTGGGTCGCACGTTGATGAGCGCCTGCTCGAAATCGGCATTCGTGATGTGCCGCACCTCCTCCATCCTTATGTCCTCGAGCTGACTGAAGGGTATGCTGCGGATCGGTCCCATGCTCGCCTCCTTGCAGAGATTCGTCATGTCGGCGCCGGAATAGCCCGCCGACTTGACCGCGATCCGCGCGATGTCCTCCACGCTGAGATCGTGGCGCACCGACCTCAGCAAGTTATTTATTATCTGCTCGCGCGCCTCGAGCTCCGGCAGAGGCACGTACAGCCTCTTGACGAGACGCCGCCTCGCCGCCTCGTCCAGCTCTTGCGGCCGATTGGTCGCGCCGACGATCAGAATGCGATCGTCCTCGGACGTCGCCGCGCCGTCCAGCTGCACCAGGAACTCGGTCTTCAGCCGCCTGGAGGACTCGTGCTCCGTCTCCGAGCGCTGCGTCAGCAGCGAGTCGATCTCGTCGATGAAGATGACGGACGGCTGGTGGACCCGCGCGACCGCGAACAGCGCGCGGACCATCTTCTCCCCGTCGCCGATCCACTTGGACGTCAGGGAGCTCGCCGAGATGGAGAAGAACGTCGACCTGCTCTGCGAGGCTATGCACTTGCCGATGAGGGTCTTGCCCGTCCCCGGCGGGCCGAAGAACAGGATACCCTTGGGCGGACGGCGGAGACCCGTGAAGATGTCCGGCCGCAGCATGGGGAACACCACCACCTCCTTGACGATCTTCTTGATGTACTCGAGCCCTGCGATGTCGTCCCACGTGATCGTCTTACCCGAGTCCATGATCTCGCTTCTTATTAGCTCGATCATGTTCGGGTCGATGTTCCTCAGCCTCTCGTCCTCCACCTCGTCCGCGCCCGCCTTGCCGCTCTGCGGCACTCCGTTGCCGTTTTTTGCCGTCAACTCCTCCTGGTCGCGTTTGAACGGACAGACGAATTGAGAATTGGCCGCACCTCGGCCGCCCAGTGTCTTCTTCGGCGCCGCCTTGTTCTTCTTCATCTGCTGGATGTACAATTCGTCCCTGGCGCTTCTGAACGAGTCAAGCGTGATCTCGGGCGCTTTAGCGTCCTTGCTGCTGGACTGTGGAGTAGCAACCGGCTTCATTTGTAGAACATGCGGATTTATCGGCCTGTACGAGGCTTTACCACTCGTGTCGATGTTTAACTTGGGAGGCACCCTTTGCACAAACTTATCCAAATTCGGATAAGAGGGCTGGCCGCTCGATTGCACTTTGGGTGCATTCTGCTTGGCGTGACTCGCATGCTTACTTGAACTATCGTTTCTGAGACTAGTTGCGAAATATGTACATACGTTCTGTTCGCTGTTAGACCTCGATGAAAGCTCTCGACGTGAAGCTTGGCTGGGATCTTTGCTAAAAGCTGCTTGCAAAGAGATTTTCCTGCTTCTTCCTGGCGCATCCTTCGTCCTGTGTATTATTTTCTCAATATCCCTGTCACTGTAAGACCTTCCTTTGCAAGGTAGAGTATTGAGCTCCTGGCAGGCCAGAGGTTTTATAAAATTCAGCGTGGCGTCCTGGTCGTCCAACCTCGACCTCCACTCGAGCGGATTGTTTCTCACGTCCGCCAGTTGAGATTTAATCTGTCCCCAGTAATTGTTCACCCCGTTCCTGTCGCTCGTCAGAGCGTGATAGTCCTTGAAGCCCTTCCGGAGCAGCATCGCCGCCGTACCCTCCGAATCGCTGCGTAGTTCACGGGCGTAAACAGAAGCGTGCGATATATAAATTTTACATGACAGAAAACCGCGATACGCAAACATGCACAGACGTTACTCACAACAACTTTGTGGTCATGTACTTGACAGCGAGAGACCTGCGTTCGATGTCGGCGACGTCGAGGCAGCTCCTGTCCTCCTTTGAGAATCTCAGGGTATGGTAGGCGGTTAGAATGTTATTTTTCTCCTCCCTCGCATCTCGCGCCACGTGCGTCTTCGCACCGGCAGAATTCGCCTCCTCATTCATGCCCGACGCGTGCAAGATGTGAGCGCAACCCGAGGGGAATAGCTTTCGGACACTGTCGCGACTCAAACGCGTGCTAACAGACGTATTCGGCGCGAAGATCGAACACGCGTGACAACAACTTTTATTCACGTCCTTCGTAACGTAGCCGGCAAGACGGTAACCACGTGGTTCGGCTACGCCGTTGTGATTGGCTGGTTGCGCGGGTGCCGGTGTGAATAATCGAGGTTCGATCTCCGACGCTACACCTGGGGCTCGATTCTTGAATTTATTCGAAGAAGAAACGTATGCGAAAATTCTGCTCTCACAGAAAAGTTGCAAGTTGATTGGCTATTCGCATGGCTTTAACCAATCGACTTGCATCTTTTCTGTCAGAGCAGAATATTCGTATACGTTTCTTCTTCGAATGATTTCGAGAATCGGGCCCCTGCGTGCGAAAGGACCAACGTCGTTTTCATTTAATCGCAAATCATGCGTGATAGTTACCGTCACGTTAGATTTGATATTCAAACTATTCGTCGATCGATGTCGATTCGACGAGTCATTTCTGCGCTGAGAAACTATATTACATTCAATAAAGACCGAAAGACAACGTCTGTCCTCGAAGATCAGTTCGCTTCTTCAAGAATAAATTTCCTTCTCTTTAGAACTGCACATGTAAGATACCAGATAACAGGCTTTTTCAAGCTGCAGGAAATATCGGAAGATTTCATATTGCTTTGCAGTTACGAAAACTGAAAAGGGACAAATGCATTTGCCGGGACGCGCAGCATTGTTAATATTATTACGCATCAAGTCTCAAATTCAAAGTGTAACTCCCAAGCTTCATCTCGTAGTCCACACTGCTGCGTTCACGAATACACCCAGTGAGAAATGATTCGTCGATCGACGTCGAAACGACATCGAATCGACATCAACACCGTCGAATTGACGTCGATTCGACATCATTTCTCACTGGGCAGTGAACCTCGTCGCCAAAACGCCCATCCAGACAGTACCGCAAAACTGGATCCTGTTCCCGTGCTGCTCCCGTCGTCGGCGCCGTCTGCGGAAAAACTCTCGTGCGCCGCTCTTATAAGGTCCAGCGGAAAGCAAGCGCCGACCAACCAGCGATCGACGCAGCGGCGCGCCGCATTCATTGGCTGGCGCGCTGGTGGTGGGGAGCCGGGGTATATAAACGGCATGCAAGCGAGCCGCGCAGCACTACTGAGTCGCTGGTGGTCGACGCTGCGTCACGTCGCACAGGGATCGCAATCTTAACCTTGCTCGAGATTTCCCACTTCCAAAATCCTAGCCCCATCCGATCGGTAGATGGCAGCAAAGTTTGATCGATGCGGAGCGATTTGAAGGGATCGTTGTTTCCCAACGAGGTATCAACAATGATTATTGAATTAATATTTCCGCGCGCGGCGCCGAACAGACGCGCTTCGGGTCGAATTTTCGAACGATTCCGCGGCATACCTTGTGGATTATTGAGATTATTTTCGCGATGCAATGTCTACGTATGTTACGCACGAAACTTGGGCGACTTTCAGTCTGGATTCGTGTAGACATTTCCGAGTGTATCCCAGTGAGAAATGATTCGTCGATCGACGTCGAAATGATGTCGAATCGACGTCAATTCGACGGTGTCGATGTCGTTTCGACGTCGATCGACGAATCATTTCTCACTGGGATATGTGTATGCTATAATCTTTTTGGCGGCGATCTCCTAAGAAGCGCTTATACCTCATATACATATCTCGAGAACGAGACAAAATATGTAAATCGTCTACGGCTTGCAATTAGATAATTGAAATCGCTAAGACGATGGATCTATTTACGAAATGTACGTCGGGAATTTTAATGGCGACCTTACGCTGATGTTGCGTTTTCCAGTCAAATTAGGTTAATTCGATTTAACTTTGTTAGCTTAATAGGATTCAAACTTTTAGTACATCTATTCGTTATCACGTAGTAGAATGATAAAAGGGTTCAGTCGAACATTAAGACACGTTTGAAAAGTGAAAATATTTAGGAAAAGGAAGCTTTTACTTTTTCTTACATAAGAGTACAATTACATTTAAAAAAATTGTATAATTATCCGCTCTTCGCTTTCGATTGTATTTCGTTAATTTGTTATTACGTTTCCGAGCTTTTTAACGCCACGGAAACTCACATCGTTTGCGCGTCTAATCTTGTAACAATAATAGATTCATAATGCTATTCAGCTGGCGTATACAGTTATCTCTTCATAACAACGTCTATAACTCGTACAGTGTGAGCCGTGCAGTTTGAATCAGAATAGCACCCGCGGCGCGCGTCAGTTTCGAAACATTTAATTATTAGCTTTGAACCGTATGAACTTTATAACACGTCCGTTTATGCACCCCGCTACCCCGGCGAAGCCATATTAACTGCGGTGAACCCGGTTTGCACATCTCGCGATGGTTTCTACTTATGTGCGACGGGCGAAATGTCAAACGTGAGGCAATCGGGGTGGCAGTCGCGAACGGAAACGAGGAGTTGTTTTATCAGCGCGTAATTTAACCACGCTGACGCGAGAAGGTGGGAGAAGGTAAAGTTTACCTAAAGGCGTTAAAAATACCGAGGAAGCGTCGGGAGAAATAAAGTGCGAGGAGGGCAAAGTGGAGAAAAGGATTTCTATTTCACAGACGACGTATATCGCTTTTCACACTTAGAGATGAATTTTCTCTCCGATGCATTCCTGTTTACTCTGACGTCTTTTACAGGCGCCCGAGCTGTTTCTGAATTCCCTGCACCACCGGCCACAACTATCCGCCGCCTCTAGATCGCAACGACGACGGGAACGATCGCCGCGGAAACCGCTGCGGGGTGAGTAGGTATATGTATAGTTGCACCGGTCCATTGGGGTTACACCCGATCGCCGTCGTGACCGCATTTGTATTCGGAGACCATAAGACGGTCGGACACGTACAGGGTGCTTCAAACTTCATGTTTACCACGTTTAGCAAATTGCCGTAAATCTGAAATCAGTTGGTCAGAGGCTTATCCTAGAACCGCGAGAACCGCCGTTCTGGCGAAATTGCCTTCGAGCCGACTGAGAAAGGCCAGGGTGTCCAGTGATCAGGGAAATCTGGAAAACCGGGAATTATCAGGGAATTTTAGAAATCTGAAAATGTCAGGGAAAAGTCAGGAAGTTTTATGATTATCTGGATTTTTTTACGTCGTTTCACATTCTTTCTGAATAATTTAAAGTTTTCAGAAAAGAAACTTTTTCGGCTCTCAGTACACTAATTTTCTGTTTTGCTAAACATTAATTTATTTACAAGCGTGGTCGGTAATTTATATTTTCATCGTCGTGTTATTTTATTTCAATGTGTTAAACTGAGACAAAACTATTTAAAAAAATTAATTACTAAACAGTACTATCTAAGTAAGTTACTATCTAGTAAGTTGCAAACAAATTGCAGTTAAGCAAAACGAAAGCATCATATGTGATTACGTACGGTACAAATAATTCGAATTTGTAATGATATGTTCGTTCCTATTACGCAATGTATTATACATAGATGGTATAATGGCTTTAATTTACATTTTTACCTTTTGAAATTCCGGGCTTTTGTTTCTCGAGAAAAATATTTCAGGGACTTCGTCGGCCAGAGAAAAATTAATTCCTGCTCCTGGAGAACCTGAAAAAGTCAGGGGATTTTTTTTCATTGATTTCGCTGGACACCCTGAAGGCGCTTGCAAGATGAAAATCTGGAGTTTGTGAAACATCCTGCGAAAAAAATGTAACGTGCCAGCGATGCAATTGCGAGTGAAATGAGTTTCGTGCGTAAGATTAAGCGCGGCCCCTTGCGATATGTGCTTGTCACTGTGCTGTGTAGAGAGACAACACGTTCTATTTTTTCATTCGAAGCTCGGTCTGTACAAATTCATCTTGTCTATAAAACATGCTATTTATTGGTAGAGAATTAGAACAATATTGCTAAAAATAGAAAGATGTTGGGAAGGAACTTTTTCTTGTAATTTTAAACTATTGCTATATTATTACACTTGATACTTGGCAAGTATTTTGCAGGATTTTTCGACGTGTTCCTTTACTTAATATGTAACTTAATTAAATGTAAGCTTAAATTCTCCATCAATTTCTTTTTATATTCATGTTAAGAAATTACACCATTCTAAAATTGAATTTATATAAAATAATTCTTGATGCATGAAGAAAGTAAGAGAATTATTGTTCGTGCTTTCAAACTATGCAGTGTTTTTCATATAAATAAATTACTTCCGCCTTTATCTTCAGCGAGGCTTTCGTTTAAGAGGATAATGACA